ACTTTTGTTCCCTCTGCAGCAAATGTAGGTACAATATATTTCTTTGAAGTCCCTCACATTTCCTGGGTGCTTATTTTTAATTCTCCAGTCTTGCCTAAGACATCAACATTTACTTCAGCTATCCACTTCCACTTTGTATACACATAGAATCTCTTAGTGTATGTTTCCTATCTCTAGCTAGTTTATTCTCAATTTATTTAATCTTTTTTTTAAAAAAAAGGATCTTTTACTGGATTTGTAAACTTTTCTCAATCTTCTGGTCTACCACTGATCATTGCAACATGGTATTATTTTTCTTTTAATTACATCCTTGCTTCTCCAGTTAGCCATCTGTCATGTGGGGTTTTTCTCTCTCATTGGAATATATGTTTGTTGAGCATTATGAATAGCTTCCTTAAATGCTCACTACTGTCTTACTTTCTAACTTATTTTCTGTCCTCTTTAGCCAATTCTGCTAAGACTCTTGTATAAAGCTCTTGACAGACCAATTTTGGAATTTTGTGAGCAGTTTAGGAAGGATGTGCTGGCCTTGGGGATGGTCCAGAGGAGGTTTACAAAATTGATCCTAGAATGAAGGGTTTTCATATGAGGAGTGGTTAAGGACTCTGGGTCTGTACTTGAGTTTAGAAGGATGAGTTGGGGGGTTTGTGTATCTGATTTAAACTAATGTAATGCTGAGAGTATTGGATAGAGTGGATATGGAAAAGACGTTTCCACTAGTAGGAGAAACTAGGACCCGACAGCACAGCCTCAGAGTGAAGGGACGACCCTTTAAAACTGCGATGAGGAGGAATTTCTTCAGCCAGAGGGTGGTGAATCTATGGTATTCATTGCTACAGAGGGCTGTAGAGGCCACATGGTTGAGTGTATTTAAGACAGAGCTAGATAGGTTCTTGATTAGTAAGGAGATCGAGGGTTACTGAGAGAATGGAGCTGAGAAACATATCAGCCGTGATGGAATGGCAGAACAGACTTGATGGGCTGAATGGCTTAATTCCTTTCCTGTATCTTATGGTGACGTTCCCATGTAGCTGTTGCCCTTGTCCTGTCAGATGGCAGTGGTTGTGGGTTTGGAAGGTGCTGTCTAAGGACCCATGGTAAATTTCTGCAGTGCATTTAGTTGATTGTACATAGTATTGCTACTGAGCATTGCTGGTGGGGTGACTGAATGGTCATGGATATGGTGCCAAACAAGCAGACTGTTTTGTCCTGGGTGTTGTCAAGCTACACTCATCCAGGCAAGTGGGGAGCATTCTATTGCACTCCTGACTTGTACCATGAAGATGGTCAACAGGACTTTAGGGAATCAGGAACAACTTACTTACTGTAGGATTCCTTGCCTCTGACCTGCTCTTTTGGCCACAGTATTTGCGTGGCAAGTCTAGTTCGGTTTCTGGTCATTGCTAATCAGCTGGATTTTGATAGTAACGACATTCAGTGATAGGAACACCATTGAAAACCAAGAGACAGGTAGATTGGAAATGGTGTCAGAGATAGTAGGAACTGCAGATGCTGGAGAATCCGAGACAACAAAGTGCAGGGCTGGATGAACACAGCAGGCCAAGCAGCATCATAGGAACAGAAATTGCCTGGCATTTGTCTGGTGCAAATGTTATTTGCTACTTTTCAGCCGAAGCCTGGATACTGACCATGTCTTGTTGCATTTGGACATGCTCTGCTTCAGTACGCGAGGAATTATGAAGGGTACACTGTGTAATCATCAACAGACGTCCCCAATTCTGACCTAATGATGAAGGAGAGGTCATTGATGAATCAGCTGACCTGTGGGCCTATGACACTACCCTGAGGAACTGCTGCAGGGATGACCTGAAACTGAGATGACTAACCTCCAAGAACCACCACTATCTTACTTTGTGTCATTATACAGAAAATCGACCCAACTGATATTTTTTTTAAATCACTCATGATTTTAACCTCCATCTTCCCATCAATCATTGCCAAGACACCACCATTGGGTATTTGTTTCTAATGCCGGTACTTAACTATCTTTCTCTATCTAATTCAACTTAACAATCCTTCTGATTCCTGAAATTCTACTCTCAATCAAACACACCCATTTGACTTTCTATCCATCCAGCCATTTCTACAGCCCCAGGTATTCAACTTATAAAGGCACTGGTCCAAGCATGGTTCACGCATGGTTCACATGAAGCCCATCCCAGTGGAAAAGCTAAAGTATGGTGCCAGTGTTTTATCAATTGAAACCCATCTTTCCCACAACAATTTCTGAGTCGTACATTCAATTCCCCGATCAGTGACCCTGTGCCAGTTTGTTTGTGACTTAGGTAGTAAGCTAGATCTTACTGTATTTGTAGTTGATTTTAAATTAGCCAATGGCTGCTAAACTTCCATTACTAGAACCTCTTCCATGTTCCTACCTATGATGATGATGCCTACGTGGACCACAATAATTGGATCATTGCCCTTGCTATTCCAGGTTCCTCTCCTGTCCCCAATGAGCTTAATCCTGGCAAAGGGCAGGCAACCCAGCCTCTAAAGCTTATACTCCTGACTGCAGAGAACAGTAGCTATCCCCCATTCAGTTCATACCAATCTACTTTCCCTTTTCTTCCCCCAACTTATACAGCATCATACTATGAAAGAGAAATCATATCATAGAATCATAGAATCCCTACAGTGTGGAAAACAAGCCCTTTGGCCCAACAAGTCCACACCGACCCTCAAAACACCCACCCAAACCCACCCCCCTCTAATCCACCTAATCTTCACATCCCTGAACACTACGGGCAATTTACAATGACCAATCCACCGGAGGAAACCAGAGCAAAGGGAGGAAACCCATGCAGACACGAGGAGAATGTGCAAACTCCACACAGACAGTGGCCCGAGGGTGGAATTGAACCCGGATTCCTGGCGCTGTGAGGCAGCAATGCTAACCACTGTGCCACCATGCCGCCCCACAAATATAATCCCTCAGGATCAATCTTATCCCATCAACACAATCTTTATAATCAATGACCATCATTATGGTCAAATAGTATACTACTGCACACTGGGCAAATTCCTTCCTTGTCAATCCTTTCATAGCCAAAGATTCACCTGCAACCATTACTGTTCTTGGACCATTAGCTCTGTTGTTCCTCAAGCATTTATCCTTAGCCCTCTTCTAGTTCTCATAAACACACTGCTTCTTGGGATATCATTCAAAAACACAAAGTGCAAGAATAGGCACTTGCCCTCTGAGCTATGCAATACGTTTACAGTTGATCTATGATCTCGCTCCACCTTTCGACACTACCTAGTGTACCCCAATTCCTTTAGCACCTAAGTATCTACTCATTGTTTTGAATATAGTCAACAATTGTCTGCAGCAATCTGGGATAGCATCGCAATCCTTTGAAAGAAGAAATTTCTCACTTCACTGCTAAGTCATTGAATCATAGTTATACAGCACGGAAACAGACCTGTTGGTCCAAGTCGTCTGTGCAACCAGATATCATAACTGATCTGGTCCCAATTTTTACCAGCATTTGGCCCATGTCCCTCTAAACCCTTCCTATTCATTTACCCATCCATGTACACTTTAAATGGTGTAATTGTACTCACCTTCACCAACTCCCGTAGCAGTTTATTCCATGCCTACACCACTGTCAGTGTGAAAGCATTGTCCTCAGATCCCTTTTAAATAGTGATGGACTCTTTATTCAGTGACTGTGACCCAGAGTCCCCTGCCAGGGGCATTCTTTTCTCTGCATCCTTCCTGGCAAGCTCATTAAGAATGATTTGTGTTTCAATTTCATCAGATCTAATTCCTTTAAATGCTAGGGAATAAAGATCTATTTCTGTTAATCTCTTCTCATAGGACAATCCCTCATCACAGAAAGCAATCTATTAAACCTTTGGTACATTCTAACTATGACACACTGACAAGTCTACCTTTCCTCAAACCAAAACTGCACACAGTATTCCAGGTATCGCATTACCCCCTGTATAACCGTGGTAAGATACCTTTCCTCTAAAATTCCAAGCCCTTTGTAATAAATAGTGATACACCATTTCCCTACATATGTTACTTGCTGCTTCTGCATGTTAACATTCTGTGATTCAGGACTTTTAAAATGACTTCAACAGTCAAGATGGATAACTTTACACTTTGTCACCTTCTATTCATGCATTAGTTTTCACGTGTGCACTAACGGCATCCAGGTCAACCTCACTCACACCTCCAGTATCTAAATTGTCACACAGCTCGTCCAAAATTCAATACTAAAAGGACAGACATTTAAACCATCTAAATATTGCTAAGTCCAAGGTTATAATTTTGTTATTAATGTTTTTGTAGCTAAACAGTTTCTGTAGTATAGAGATTTTTGACTCTATATAGTTCTGTTGTAATTCCCGAATGTCGATTTCATTGCTCAACCCTTCTTTAAACCTTAATTCAACAAAAAGCCCAGTGGGAACTGATTACTCCCAAAGCATATTGGTTTTATTGTCGGAGTACCTTATATAATTCGTACCCATCACAAATTACACCGCATTAAAAGGCTGATTAACTTTACTATCCGACTGTTCGGAGCAGGAGAGGAATTTGCAGCTTTTCGGGTGTTTGGAGCACAACAAGCGGTGGCAATGTCTGGTGAACTCTTCGCACACTGGGCCTGGTCATTGATGTTCCTTCCGAAATGTTGAATGTTTGTTACTTTTAAACTTTACGGAGCACATTTAGTGCGGTGGCTTTGAAAAAAAAAACAAACCGCTTGAAGTGAAGAAATGCTGGAACAACTCGTTAGCATTTCGAATAATTCTCTAAACCTCTGTCCAATTTGCTCACTCACATTACAGACACCTGCCACACTCCACTTGGGAAATGCCGCTGTTGTGATTTTGAAATCGGATTCGGTTCGAAAGATGATGATATTTTAAGAGTTCGCTTGTGTTTTTTTCAAGCGGAAATGCCATTAAGGCTTCACACCGAGCCACGGCCGCACACATCATTATCACCGAATAACACTTACTGGAAAGAGGGGACACTCAGGTTTCCCGGGATCCGTCTTTCCCAGGGTTTCGATGGCGGCTGTGACCCCATAATCTTCAGAAAAGCATACGCTCGGAATGACCTCTCGGCCCTTCAGCTTCACTCCCGTCAGAAATAGCAACTAGGACAGAGGGTTACATCCGGACAGACACAGCGGCCAACAGAATAAGAGGATACATCCAGACAGATAATAATACCCAACAGGACACAGGGATACATCCGGAAAGACATTGGACCCAATAGGATAAGTGGATACAACCAGACACAACACTGCAGCCAACACAAAAGGGTGATACATCAAGACGGACGGTAGTACCCAATAGAATACATTGATACATCGGACAGGCATAACAACCAATAGAACATGGAAATGCATCCTGTCAAACACTGTAGCCAATAGAAAACGGGGATGCACCCAGTGCGGCACTGTAGCCAATAGGACAGAGACATGCGCTGAAGCACTAACCAATGGGCTCTTGGGATAGATTCGAACTCGGAGACATGAACTTGCAGCAAGTCAGAAAGCAGCCTCTGCGTCTGTCAGCAATCACTTCCGGCATTGGACTGTGGCTGTGGAAATGTGAGTTTACTGATATATCGCTATTTTTAACTTTTGTTTGTTCTGAGGACCAAGTCATTTGACTTAATACGATATATTTTACCTATATCAGTGTTTTTTTCATGAAAAAAAAATTCAACGCTAGTTAAATAATTGCAAAATCTCCTAAGGCATGTGCAGGAAGATATAAATCTGTGGTGTATTGCAGTGCTTGATATTTTTATAGACTTTTCAATAGACGTTTAAAATAGGTTGTATAATCTGAAATCGTTTCTTTTACTGTAGAAAAATTGATTCTTGTCTGTAGAATTGATTCTTCTGTATCTTGTCTGAAGTCATGTTTTCTTTGCATTATCATATATGTTCATTCTGTTCCTCCTACCAAAGTTAAGGAACTTCAATTACCCTTCATAACACCATAAGACCATAAGACATAGGAGCAGAAATTAGGCCATTTGGCCCATCAAGTCTGCTCTGCCATTCAATCATGGCTGATAAGTTTCTCCATCCTATTCTCCTGCTTTCTCCCCATAACCCTTGATAAACAAGAACCTATCTATCTCAGTCTTAAATGTACTCAATGACCTGGCCTCCACAGCCTTCTGTGGCAATGAATTCCATAGATTCACCACTCTCTGGCTGAAGAAGTTTCTCCTTATCTCCGTTTTAAAAGATCTTCCCTTTACTCTAAGGCTGTGCCCTCGGCTCCTAGACTCTCCTACAAATGGAAGCATCTTCCCAACGTCCACCTTGTCCAGGCTATTCAGTATTTTGAAAGTTTTAATTAGATCCCTCCCGCTGCCTCATCCTTCTGAACTCCAATGAGTGTAGTCCCAGAGTCCTCAAATGTTCCTCATATGTTAAGCTTTCCATTCCTGGGACCATTCTCGTGAACCTCCTCTGAACCTGCTCCAGGGCCAGTACATCCTTCCTGTCACATGGGGCCCAAAACTGCACACAATACACAAAATGTGGCCTGGCCGGCGCCTTATAAAACCTCAGTAGTACATCCCTGCTTTTATATTCAAGTCCTCTCAAAATAAATGCCAACATTGTATTTGCCTTCCTGACTACTGACTCAACCTGCAAGTTTACCTTGAGAGAATCCTGGACTAGAACTCCCAAGTCTCCTTGCACTTCAGACTTCTGAATTTTCTCCCCATTTAGAAAATAGGCCATGCTTTTGTTCTTCTTACCAAAGTACATGACCTCACGCTTTCCCACATTGTACTCTATCTACCACTTCCTTGCCCACTCTCCTAACCTGTCCAAGTCCTTCTGCAGCCTCCCCACCTCCTCAATACTACCTGTCCCTCCACCTATCTTTGTATCATCTGCAAACTTAGCCAGAATGCCCACAGTTCCTTCATCTAGATCATTAATGTACAAAGTGAAGAGTTGTGGTCCCAGCACCAACCCCTGCGGAACACCACTTGTCACCGGCTGCCATCCCAAGAAAGACCCCTTTATCCCTACTCCCTGCTTTCTGCCAGACAGCCAACCTTCTATCCATGCTAGCACCTTGTCTCTAACACCGTGGGCCCTTATCTTACTTAGCAGCCTCCTGTGTGGCACCTTATCAAAGGCCTTCTTGAAGTCCAGGTAGATAACATCCATTGATTCTCCTTGGTCTACCCTGCTCGTTACTTCCTCAAAGAATTCTAGCAGATGTGTCAGGCATGACCTCCCCTTGATGAAACCATGCTGACTTTGCCCTATTTTACTATATACTTCCAAATATTCAGAAATCTCATCCTTTACAATGGACTCCAAAATCTTGCCCACAACCGAGGGTTAGGCTAATCGACCTGTAATTTTCCATCTTTTGCCTTACTCTCTTTTTAAACAGGGGTGTCACTTTAATGATTTTCCAGTCCTCTGGGACCCTCCCTGACTCTAGTGACTCCTGAAAGATTACCACTAACGCATCCACTATCTCTTCAGCTATGTCCTTTAGAATTCTGGGGTGTAGTCCATCTGGTCCAGGTGATTTATCCACCTTCAGGCCAATCAGTTTTCCTAGCACCTTTTCCTTGGTGCTAGCCGCCATACTCAGCTCTGCCCCCTGACTCTTGAATTTTTGGGATATTACTCATATCTTCTACCATGAAGACTGATGTGAAGTAATTATTCAGTTTCTCAGCCATTTCCTTGCTCCCCACTACTATCTCTCCACTGTCATTTTCCAGTGGTCCAATGTCCACTTTTGTCTCTCTTTTGCCCTTTATATACCTAAAGAAACTCTTACAGTCTTCATTTATATTACTGGCTAGCTTACCCTCATATTTAATCTTCTCCCTCCTTATTTCTTTTTTTTTTGTTGCCCTCTGTTGGTCTTTGTAAGCTTCCCAGCCCTCTGATTTCCCACTGCCCTTCGTGACATTATATGCTTTCTCTTTTGCTTTTATGCTATCCCTGACCTCCTTAGTCAGCCATAGTTGCCTCATCCTCTCTGTACCATGCTTCTTTTTCCTAGGGATGAATTTTTGCTGCATCTCCTGAATCACTCCCAGAAACTCCTGCCATTGCTGTTCCACTGTCTTTCCTGCTAGGCTCCTCTTCCAGTCAATTCTGCCCAGCTCCTCCCTCATACCTCTGTGTAGTTACCTTTATTCAGCTGTAATACCATTATCTCTGATTCTATCTTCTCCCTCTCAAATTGCAGAGTAAGTTCTATCATCTTATGATCACTGCCTCCTCAGGGTTCCTTTACCTTAAGCTCCCTTATCAAGTCTGCCTCATTGCACAACGCGTGTTATTAAGCATTTGCAGAAAATCACTTTATGTTAATGAGATTGCATTAGTAATTAAACACTTCAAAAACAGTAGTCAGGATGTTGAGATATCAACTCATTACGGTCAGTTGTAAGAGGAGTTCAGAGCGACTGTGTTTGACACAGGTTTGGAATGAAAGCGTAATACTTTACTAATGTGCCTCCTGACTTGCTGTAGTCCCGTGATATCCACCATGAGACACTTACTAGAGGTAATCTTACAAACCAGTTCAGTTCAATAAAGACTCACTACAAGCCAAGGAGCACAGGAATGTTCAAAGCTGCTAAAAACGACAGGAAGCTACAGAAAAAGAACAAAGAAGCGAGCCACGTTAGAAGGCACTGGGTAAGGCACCATGCTGCATCTTTGCTCTCCTGGTACCAGTTAAACGAAAGATAATATGAAGCAAATCTGACAGTTTTTTTCATTTGCAGTTGCAAAATTAAGAAATTGCAGCAGATTTAATTTACAAGCCAAAGCAGCTACAAGTATCTACATTTTTTATCTCTTATGGAGACACTTATGAATTATATTCCAACCTAAATCTCTCTAAAGAACAAAAAAAATTAGAGAGCAGAAATTTTGAAAACCTGAAGTTACACCATGAACCTCAATTGATGATCAATGTATTCAGCATTAAGACCAAGGTCTAATAGTGTCCATTGATAAATAGGTAGCTGCAGAATGACACTCCTGAGTCCTGTGAATTGAGAAAACAGGGTGGCACAGTGGTTAGCATTGCTGCCTCACAACTCTAGGGACCTGGATGGAGTTTACACATTCTCCCTGTGTCTGTGTGGGTTTCCTCCAGATGCTCAGGTTTCCTCCCACAGTCGAAAGATGTGCAGGGTAGGTGGATTGGCCATGCTAAATTGCCCATAATGTCCAGAGGTGTGTACGTTAGGTGGATTATCCATGGGAAATGCAGGGGTAGGGGAATGGGCCTGGGTGGGATGCTCTTTGGAGGGCCACTGTGGAATTGTTGGGCCAAATGGCTTGTTTCCACACTGTAGGGATAGTATGATTCTATGATGATTATGTAATTGAGTCAAGATATGTTTCTCCTTTCTGAAAAGTGATTAACATGTGCAGAAGTGCTGAGTGTGTAAATCAACACCAAGAGCATATTCATGACAGAACAAAGTAGGCCTTTTGGGTATTATCTTGACAGGTGTTCCAGGAAGAAAGAGCAGAGGTAAAGAGCAGGTTGCAAATACATCACACAAAGCAAAATAAGGCATATACAATTTGAGGAAAGTAGTGTCCTTGCTACAGGAAGCAAAATGATTTTGTGGAAGTGTTTGATTAGAATGAGCAAGTGCAGATGGCCGCTGGAGAGAGATCTGCATAGAATTCTGAAGAATCATTCGAAACCATTGAACATGTTAGTTCATTTGTCAGTGGATGATAAATGGTTTGTGACTATTGGGATGATGACTGCAGAAGGAGAATAACAAGTGATCCTGCAGTGTGCGATACACAATGGTGCATCATGAACTTGAGAAGCTTGTGTGAAATGACAACTCAGTGATGCCCTTAAATTGAAAAATGAAGCCCTCAAAAGTAAAGTTGAGGCTATATGATGGCACCACACTCATGCTGAGAAAAGAAATTACTTTGATTTGATTTGTTTTATTGTTGTCACATGTACTCGAGTACAGTGAAAAGTTTTGTTTTGCGAGCATTTCAAGCAGATCATAATATACAAGGACATATAGATCATAGGGTATTTGGACAGAGTGAGGCACACAGAGATACGTCTGCACAGAAGGTGTGTTAGAGCAAGATCAATATTAGATTTGAAATTAGAAAGGTCCATTTAGTGGTCAAACAAGAGCAGAGAAGAAGTTATTCTTGAATCTGTATCTGTATCTTCTGCCTGACGGAAGAGATTTGAAGACCGTATTACTGGGGTGGAAAGGGTCTTTGATGACATTGGCAGCATTTCTGTGGCAACGAGAAGTGTAGATGGAGTCCATGGATGGGAGGTTGGCTTTCATGGTGGTCTGGGCTGTGTACACAACTTCCTGTAGCTTTTTCTAGTCCTGGGCAGAGCAGTTGGAATACAACCCATTATGCACCCAGATAGAATGCTTTTTATGGTGCAACTGTAAAAGTTGGTGAGGGTCCTTATGGACTTGTTGGATTCCCGAAGCCATCTGAGGAAGGAAAGGCATTATAGTGCCTTCTTGACTGTCAGATCTATGAGGGAGGTCCAGGACAGATTGTTGGGTATTGTCACTCCTAGGAACTTGATGCTGTCCACCTCTGCGCCATTGATGTAGATAGTGGTGTGTCTTTCTCCTTCCTTTCTGAAGTCAATGATCAGTTCTCTTGTTTTGCTGTACAATGGCATTGGGGCACAAAGCAAGCAGCAGGCACCAATATCAAGCAACTAGCAAGATAATGGAATCAGAGATAGTAGGAACTGCAGATGCTGGAGAATCCGAGACAACAAAGTGCAGGGCTGGATGAACACAGCAGGCCAAGCAGCATCATAGGAGCAGAGAGGCTGACGTTTTGGGCCTGGACCCTTCATCAGAAAAGGGGGAGTGGAAGGGGGTTCTGAAATAAATAGGGAGAGAGTGGGAGGCGGATAGAAGATGGATAGGTGGAGAGGAAACAAACAGGTCGAAGAGGCGGGGATGGAGCCAGTAAAGGTGAGTGTAGGTATGGAGTTAGGAAGGGGATAGGTCAGTCCATGGAGGACGGACAGGTCAAGGGGGCCGGATGAGGTTGGTCAGTAGGAG